AGAAAAGAGCTGCATATAGAGCAGGAAAGAGCCTGATGGCCAGTACAGTGCCTGCTGATCAGGGCTGAATCTACAACTGACCAGCTCACTCTTTGGTTGAATCTCTGGATGAACATTGCAGCATTAGCAGGAAAAATATTATTTTATTCATAAAATAGAGTTCCACCGTAAGTGGCAAGGCAAGATTAGCGATAATGGCAAGGTATGGGTCCAGTTCAGCACTTCATGGATGACGTCCCTATAAATGCTAAAAGCCTATGTGAATTCTGCTAGAGTCAAAGACTTGAAGAGCTATCTTTCAGCAAAACAGAAATGTCTCCGCTGTCAACCACACGTTATCACTGACATCGTAGAACAACAGGATCTACATTTATGTCATTACCTGCCAGGATCTGGCTCCTGAGGTTAGGAGAAATTGCAGCTGCAGGAGGGTAGAAGGGGATGCCTGTGGTGATGGGAACTGCACTACCCAGGGTTCTGTGGATGGTGACGTTGTCAAAGGAGGCCGGGATGACATCATCAAGCTGCGACGATGGGCTGGCGGTGGGGGAGGTGGCGCGTACGCCATCTTGGAAAGTTGGTGTTGTGGAGTGGAACCACCTTTAAGTTGGAGCATTAGCCTCCAGGGTCTGGATCATGGCGTTCATAGACGAGAGAGAGGACTGGGTGGAGGAAAGAGCCGACATGATGTCGGCTTTCATCAGAGCTGTGTGGCCGCCCGCTGGAGCTGTGTTGCCGACTGCTGGGGCTGGAGCTCTAGCCCTCCTGTGCGTCTGGGTGGCGCCGACTGCCAAGGCTGTAGAGGAATCGCTGGTGGTGTGTTTATGTTTCGCTACGGCCTTTTGAGGAGCCGAAGGGGGAGGAGCGCTTGTAGGTAGACGCTGGGGCTCGGCGCGGTTCAGGAAAAGCCCAAACTACTCCTGGTGTGAGGCGCTGATTGGGGCAGCTTGGGGCTTCCTTGAGTCAGATCACGTCCTTTGTGTCGGAGCATGATGCTGTCAACCTTGTTGTAGGCAGAGGACATTGTTACGAGGAGCAAAAAGGTAAGAAGTAACACAAAAGTTTTGGCAGGTATTCAGTAGTTGCTGGTTAGCTGTCAAAGCAGAGGGAGAGGCTGGGTTAGTGAAGTTTTAAATAGGGCGCTCTAAAGGCATAGGACCAATAGGAGCGAGGAGTAGATCAGCTGGGCCATCGTCTGGTTGAGGTGGCTACTAGCCATTGGCTGCGGCCCTTAAGTGTGAGGCCCTGAGGCGATCTAGCTCAGAGTACACCATTGGTACATCGTTGTTTGTAGTCTAATAGTCACGAGGAGGAAGATAAATATTCATGGTACTTTTTGGAGTTAAAGCTTGAATGCCAGTAAAATCTAATACCTCATAAAATCTTAGTTAAGACTTTTTAAAAATATTTTAAGGGCCTTAATTTTCCCACAAGTGATTTATCAACTTTGAATACTTTTTAAGACTTTGCGGACACCCTGGTATAATTGAAAATATATACAGGTTTGATTTTGATTTAAAATTCAGTAGATGGTTGACTTTTATAGCTGTTAAACAGTTCATCTCGGTCATGGTAATTTCTCTCATTTGTACATAAATTGTTATTTCTGTAATTTTTGTATTTAGGGCCACAGGGTAAAGCCCTCATGCACTATTGTTTTACTGTGGATTTTTTTTCTTAATCATCTTCCAGACAAATTTTAATTCACTACAAGTGCTACAGCTTGAAGAGTTGCAGGACAAATTATGAAAAGTCCGATTTGATCAGAATCTGTGTGCTATTACTTTTGTATGAATTTTTTATGATTTACATCGGAAAAAAAACGGCAGAAGATTTTTGCATTGAAGACCACAGCACAAGCAAAAAAAAAATATTAGTAAGTTTTTGTTTTTCAAACATCTACTGCCTTTGCATACTTTTACCTAGACAAGTCTTGTGTATTGGCTTATTCATCAATGATTCGATAGGTGTGATAGTTTTTGATCACCCAATAACCATGATCATTTTTGGAGAAATTTTAAAATTATGAAGGGTGTGTATTACCTGAAGTTTTCTGCTAGAGTTAGAGAAGTTGCATGAAATTGTCAGGACCTTTTCTCTGTACACGCTCCTCCCGGCCAGAAATAACACTCTACATGCATTTTTTTTTTCTACAGTAGAAGACACACTTGTTCTGTGTCTAACGATGTGTTCGTCTTAGTCAGCAGTTCCTTTACTATCTTGGCAGTGCACCTTCTTATTCATCCAAACTGGGTTGACGCACCCCTAATCCTCCAAACACCTACAAAAATAAAAAGGAAAACACAACAAAGCTCTTTTATAACCACATTAAATGTGTCATGTTTAATTATACACAAATTACCAGAACATAAGCTAGGTAACAACACTAACAAGATGAAATTCCCAACAATACATTTGCCTTTGAAAAAAAAAAAGAAACCAAGTTTCAATATTAAACTACACAAGGCGGCATTTTCAAACTTTCCAACTCAGGAACCCTGTTGCAAAAATGAGTGGTTCAAGCTTTGAAAACACTTTTTCCAGTATGACTATGGGCTTAAAAAAAAAAAATGGTTTGGTTTAGTTGTAGGGGGGTGCTTGTGGGCTATATCTGGCCCAGGGTCTATAGTAGGAGAACTGAATTTCAAAAGTGGTTGACCTTGACCAGTTTCGAAGATATTTGATTTCAAGTCAAGCATAGGAGGCTATTATTATTAATATTATTATTATTATTATTATTATTATCATTATTATTATTCATGCAATGACTCTCCTAAACATATTTATTTTTCCTTGGACTAGATGCCCATACAACCAGCAGATTACAGAGATTTGATGTGTGCAGTTCTCCGCTCATCGAAAGAGGCCATAGTCCAAAATAGTAACATAGCCACTCCAAATGCCAGTGTGTGGACGGATCTGAATAAACAGCTGGAAAACAAGATCTCTGCAAAGGCTCTGTGCACCTTTTTCAAAGCTAACAGACATAGCATCTGGTCATCTTTGGGATTCAGTAATTGTGAAACTGATCCTGAAACCAGTAATGACACAGGCTCTGAATCAGGTCCCCATTTCCCTGAACAGTCATTTTAGCTTCAAGTTCCTTTGGGCAGGTGGAGAGAATTTGTTCCAGAAAAGGCTGAATACAAAGATAAGTATTCACAAACCCATAAAGGAATATACAGTTTTGAAGCCTGGCACCTGGACCCACATCATGAGTGAATCTGGAAAGCATTTAAAATGCCTTGCACATTTGTTTTTAAAAGAGCTAAGGTCTGTGCATCCGTCACAAATAACTATATTGAAATCAGAAGATACGGTAAGGAGTGTCCTGGCCTTCTTGACACTCATTGTAATAGAGAGTCTGAAATCATCAGCCTAATGGTGCTCAACGGTTCTGTTAAAAACAATGACTCCCTGCACACTGGCAGCTCAAAGCGTCTCATGTCTGGACAGTTGCATGTGCAGATAGCCAAAAAACTCTGTGAGGGCACGATGGAACCACACGTAAGGTGGGCATCACAGGTAGAGAAGCTGATGGACTTTGGAGATCCTGAGCCAAGCCATTTACCAAGTTTGGCTACCCTGAGCAAAGCAAAACAAGAAGAAATGATATTGCATTCGGTGACAAAGATCCCATTTTCTCAATGCAAGCTATTGAGGTACAGTACACCTCACAATGGTAGCAATAAAGACATTGGACTGGACAAGTTCCTCTGTCACTACTGGAGTCACACACAAATGCATGTGTACAAGACCTTATCCAAGAAATCTCACCAACAGTATGTTTTGATGCAACAGGCTCAGTAGTTAAAAAACTGGTGTGACCAAATGGCTTGTCTGGCCTCATCTTATATCAGAGTGTTCTGACACGGCATAACTGTTCTCGTGTCCCGGTGGTACAAATGCTGTCAGAGAAACATGATGTCAACGCTATTACGCAGTGGCTGACAGAATGGATTCTTCCAGGTGCACCTGTTCCAAAAGAATGTGCAAGTGATTTTTCTTTGGCCATTCTTGGAGCTCTGGTCAGGACTTTTACCCCTAATCCTGATCTGAAGAACTACATCAATGAGTGCTTTAAAGTCTTGCTGGGAAATAAACAAGGTAAAGGCTATAAGACCATCTCCAAGCAGCTTGATGTTCCTATGACTACAGTTGCACAAATTATTCAGAAACTTAAGATCCATGGGACTGTAGCCAACCTCGCTGGACATGGCCACAGGAGGAAAATTGATGACAAATCAAAGAAATGGATAATACAAATGGTAACAAAAGAGTCCAGAAAAAATTCTAAAGGGATTAAAGGTGAACTTCAAGCTCAAGGAACATCAGTTTCAGATTGCACCATCTGTCGTTGTTTTAGCTAAAGTGGACTTAATGGGAGATGACCATTGAAACCATTGTTGAAAACAAGTCATAAAAAAGCCAGACTAGAATTTGCCAAACTATATGTTGACAAGCCACAAAGCTTATGGGAGAATGTCCTATGGACAGATGAGACAAAAATTGAACTTTTTGCCAAGGCACATCAGCTCTATGTTCACAGACTGAAAAATGAAGCATATCAAGAAAAGAACACTGTCCCTTCTGTTAAATAAGGAGGAGGCTCTGCTATGTTCAGGGGCTGCTTTGCTGCATCTGGCACAGCGGGTCTTGAATTTGTGCAGGGTACAATGAAATCTCAAGACTATCAAGGGATTCTAGAGAGAAATGTGCTGGCCAGTGTCAGAGAGCTTGGTCTCAGCCGCAGGTCATGGGTCTTTTTTTATGCCACCTGTTTTTTTTTTTGGTTTTTTTTAATCTTTGAATTGTGTATTTTCAGAATATGCTGGGTACCAAGCTGAATTAATGTCTGAAAGGCTTTATTTTTAACCCTTTAGTGCACTAACCCAAACTCGAAAATGGAAATATGAGTAGGATAACTTTTGATGTAAACAACTTACTTAGACAAATTAACACATTCTTCCATACAACTGACATAAGGCATTCAACAGATTTCACCAAGCTGCCTAAAAGCTTTGTGGAGTTTTGGATTCTGTTGGAGTTTTTTCATAGAACCCCAACACTCTGCTGGGTTTCTATATCTTAACTGGGGAAGACTGTACCAGCACTTTTAAAGGCAAGGTAAATTCCTTGAAAAACTCCAACAGAATCCAAAACTCCACAAAGCTTTCAGGCATCTTGGTGAGGAGAGGCTGGTAATTGATGAGCTTCAGCAGGTAATGGAGAGGTTCACATGCATCATGTATGGCCAAGCAGATTTGATGCAGTAAGAGTCAAATGCTACAAAAACGGTAGGTGCTGACAAAGTTCTGGACTCTTAATCAAAAGTAGACCTGGAATGCCTGCCTCCCCCAAAAGTCTGTCACATCCCACACATACAACATGCCAATTACAGAGTGACTGGCTATAGAGAGCGGACGAGGCAATAATCAAGAGCCCCAAATCATATGATTCAGGCATGGGCTGGGAGAAGAAAGGAGAGGAGGAGGTGTTGGAACCCGTCTGGATAATTGGACCCTTCCTCCCTCCTCTTGTGGCCATACTGGCTCAGTGAGAAGAGTCAAAAGAGCAGGCAGCTCTTGACAAGGCAGATTCCGCCAGCAATGTAGGTAAAGAGGAAGGGGACTATGAGGAAAATGATGGAAACTGATTTAGAAGATCTCTTCAATGATGATGAGCATGATGAGTAGCTTTAGCCAACTATTTAATAGTGAAATGGAAAAAAAGTTGCCAAATAAGCATTTTCCGCCATTTTTTGGCCATAAATAAATAAAGACAGAATCAAGATGTTATGAAATATGAAAAGTAAATACTTGGTTAAATTCCATAAAATCAAGTTATCCCACACATATTTCAATTTCGAACTTTTGGTTCTTACCCGTTTAAACTGGGTAAGTGGCCAAATAGCTCATAATCACATGAAACGTGTTGTCAACATGTTGTTTACATCATGTTTACATGTTGTCTATGCATTGACAACACATAGAAATCAAATAAACAACACGTGAAAAATCAACGTGTTGTTAACATATTGGGAACATGTTGCTCATGTTTTGTTCACATGTGAGAGTTTGTATGTTTTTGAGCCTGATGGCCTTTCATACTTTGCAGCATTGATTGAAATAGGAGCATATTTGCTGTGTGACACGCGAAGCTGACTGAATGCACTTCACACTGATCCTGTGTGTTTTTAGGCTTTATACAACTCGGATGCACACTTTCTCATATTTTTCTGATGTCATCAGTGTTGGAAAGCTCTTTTTGACAAAGCCATATCTGGGATGTCTTTCCTGAAGTTGCAGCAGTGGTTTTTTAATTTTTTAATATTTCCCCTATAGTCATTTTTGTAACTCAAATAGGAGAAAAGCTTTTTTAGCTGCATGCTGGGATTCATCCAGTATGCAGGAACAGACATTAGAAAGTATAACAAAGACCCGGTCTCCTTCCCTCCCTCTCATCTTTCGGCCAGTACCACCTCAGCTGTGGCTTCAGGTGCCTCTGCTGCAGACATCAGGCTAGTCTCTAACATTCAGCCTCTCAATAACAGAGGGACTTAATATTATTATTATTATTATGTGCCTGCCAAGTTGAGCAAGGCATGCACATATTTTTATTGTCTGGGTAGGCATATGCCCCTGAAATGGGGAGGGGTGATGACAAAAACAAACAAAAAATGTCCCCGAAGTTCTCCATTAGTGTGTATTGCATGCCAAGGTGTATCTTATTATCCTAGACAGCAGGTTTATTTTTTTTTATCATAGACGCACCTTCGCAATGAATGCGGCCCGAACGGTAAGGTGCATCCAGGCATAGCATTTATGAAAACGATGGTGGGTATGACTTTTCTTTATCATGCTAGATGCTCAAAAGCAGCAAAAATTTCCCCATGTAAGCGGAAGGGAGAGGGCAAGAAAAAAATAGATTTTTCTCATGCATTTGATGCCCTACCATGTCGCCATACTTTCTCACCTCTGATTTTAAAAGTGTAGACGGCTCGTCAATATCTGGTACAGTTTGGCCACAGTAACTGTTCAAGTGAGGGGTGTAAACGAGGATTTTCCATTTTTTAGAGTGATGACTCATCATTTTAGAGTAAAGAGAAGTCAACGTGTTTTTAATTTCTAAATTGCTGCCACAGCCATAATTTTTATTCGACACATACAAATTATATATCAAAACGTAGGAAATCTACCAGAAAATGTGGGCCTTTAAGCTGTGAGATGCTCACTTTTCAAGCTACGAGGTTTTGTTCGGGAGGAGGTACCTTTTTCACCTCCAACCACCGCCATTCAAAAAGAACACAAATGGTCCACATACGACTGTTGCTCATTTTCTCTGAACAACTCGCGCTCCCGTCTAAATTGTAAAGTGTAGCAACTTGTCCTTCTGATAAGTTGTAGCTGTATTTGAGCAGTCGCTCATGGTCCAAAGTTTTTTCCTATATGACATGTAGTTTGTGAGCAACAAGCCTTTTATGGGCACTAGTGAGATATTAAGATTCCTATTCAAAGTGAATGGAGCAAACATGGAGTGGTCTCCATATTTGGAGCTTGATTGTAAAGTAATACTTTGAGGTAGAAATGTGATTTGAACTCTGACCTTTAGATGAGACCTGAACCCTTCAACCTGCGAAAACCGCATTTCAATTTCTTACAGTTTTCCTACAAAGTGAGTTTGTTTGGGCCAGTCCTGTTCTAAGCAGACAGAGGCTCAGTGAGGCAATATCTGTGTCACAGGTGAGCTGCAGGTTGCAGACGACTCCCACTCAGAGCACAGGGCCCGCCCACCTGGTCTTGATTGACAGCTATCTTCCAGACGCCACAACACAGACACATGCAGATTGCCTCGAGTTTTATGTCAGATTCATGACAAAGGCCCTAAATCATCATCGCTTTGACATATCAGCATGATATTTGACACATCTCCTCGTGACCCCACTCTGAAGACATGTCCCACTCTGCAGCCATCTTGGATGACCCCACCATCCCCAAACAGAAAGTAGCCCTTAACGCATTATTGCCCTCATGTATCTCCACCCAAAACATAGCCTAAATGTGAGTAAATCAGCAGCAAGCAGCAGCTAATCGGCAAGTGGGCAGGCAAATATCAAAATTTCTCAAGAATTTTCTAGTTATTATTGTTATTAAATTTACAAATGGTCTTACTTATACCAGGCTATCCCACACAGCTGCTATCACTCAGATGAGCACACACAGTTTGTATGTGAGCATATGTACACCCTTTCATGATTAGCACATACAACAGTGAGAGTCTTGTCACTGTGATGATACTCTCAGTAGCACACTAGGGTGTCTATGGGGAATGTCTGTAAGTGTCTCCTGCTGTAGTCTTCCTCTGTCTTGACAATGATGACAGCAGCAGAGTGCATAAGCCTTTGCCGGCCTGTCAGCAGGCTGTTTCCAGAGCTGATCAAAGCCTTTGGAGATGTACACATATGTACATGTGAATGATATACCTGTCTCATCCAGAGGAAACCAACTTAAACTGGGAAATGCAAGTAGCATATATATGAAATATTTTATTTGCATAGACACAAGCAATTGAAAGCTGGCTCATATTACCAGTACAAATCCATCCTTTCTGTTTTATGTGGGCATCATCTAAACCTTTTGTGTAACATTTCTGAGAATAAAGGAATAATGTCAACTTGCTTCAATTTGAAATCGCAAATACACTGATATATGAGCTGCTAATCAAGGACAGATTTGCCAAATAGCAACACTTGGCACATTGATACAGGTATAATTGATTTATTAGTCCAGGAGCTCCTGCCAGAAAATCTCAACTGTGCCTTGGCATTGACCCAGCAAATCCTTGGGTCATAACATCGGGGAAATCAGAGCATTCTTTCAAATGATGTCAGTGTTTTAATGATCAGGGTGGAAAGCTCTCTTAAATCTGTCCTCAACATGACATACCTGCCAACAGCAAATTCAATGTGTATGCTCAATATTTTCAGCAAGCCAATCCAAGTCCTCTTTTGTTTTGTTTAGGGGGTCATTGTCACTCCAGATGGACCACTTTAATCAGTATTAGAGGATCTCATGAAATACAGGAGATCATTAGAATATAAGTTCCCAGTGGCTGTTTCCTTATAAGAAGGCAGGTGAAGATGTTCAGTTAGCTAACAATATAGCAGACACAGCAGACAAGCATTTAGTTGTTTTAAAATTTTCTTCTGATAGTTGTAGTGTAGGTGATCAGACTTCAGCCTACGGGCATCATTTTTTAAGATGGGATGAAACGCAGCAGAGTATTTTTCTATGTTTGAGTCTAATATGTGTTTTCCCAGATAAATCACATTAATTAAAATTTGCAATCTGCTAAATAATATAAAATCATGAAAGGCCCAGCAGGCAATTGCACCACTCACAGCCTCTGTTGTTAGTTTACACTATGGATTAATTTTCAATCAATCAACATGAGTGGTTATATTTCACGTACCTTTACACTGCTGTGAGTCACAGAAGCAAACTGGTTATTTCCAGGCAGTCTGGCGTGAGAATTAGTACTTAGTACTGCTCTATGAGGACAAAACCTATGCTCTGATTGGCTACTTGAAGTGCAGACTTCAAATCAATGACAAGTTAAGATAACCCTTGAGTCTCCATGGTGCAACTTTACAAACTAACAAGTTTCTTTTTCTGTTCCTTTTTTTTCTCTTTCTTTCTTCCTTTTATTTATTTATTTATTTTGTTGGGGGGGGGGGTTAATTAAATTCTGATTATTGCTCATTAAAAAAAAAAATAGTTCATCTTTACTGAAGTTCATTATCTTTTCCATTTTATTAACCTTTGTAAATCTCTGGGCACTGCTGAATGGTGGGCAGTATTGGCTTTAGCCAAAATCATGTTACCATTTTCTGCAACTACTACCAATAAATCTTTCTTTTTTCCATTACCCTGTCCAGGATTACACCAGTACTGTATTACAGTGGTTCCACTTGAAATCCCACACCTAGAATTAGTTTAATTTCTGAATGTGCTCCCTCTCAAATATTTTCCATTTTAGACAATCCCAAAAATATGTCTATGGTCTCCAATCTGATTATAATTCCTACATTGTTAATGTGTCTGAATTTGGTCAGAGGTGGATGCAATAGGCGTTTTGAAAAACCTTTTTCTTAATTCTCAGTTTCAGTCTCTTCTCATTGGACTGTTAGTTTTCTTTGTTCACATGTTTTTTTCTCAAACGCTCATCTTTCTGTCATATCCAGAGAATTTCCTAAAGATGTGCTTAGAGCTGTTTCTATAGTTTTGGAACATTTTCGTAACTTGTCCCCTGAGTTCTTTATTAGAAAGTCTTCAATGGGTGTGGCTGCTTTTTAAAAGGGATTACAGTCTTTATGTGACACTAAATTGTTCTGTAGTTGTAAGTATCGGTCAAAGTCTCTGGGACATGGGCCAAATGTATCCTGTTATTGTTTTAATGATCTTAGAATTTTCCCTTCGATCATCTGATGCATACTTATTAGACTTCTCTGCTCTCAAGCCTTAAACCATCTAACTTACTGGGTAAAAAGTCTGCATTTGTTTGCTACTTTCATTATCCTCGACATAGGCAAGAGTACATTCACATTTTCTTGTAAGGATCCTTTTGAGTGAATTTCGTTCTTTCATTTTCTATCTTCAGATTTTTCAGCTTTGGTCTATGAATGGCAGACCCTCAGGAGGTAAAGGTGAGTTTAGCTGCTTCTCTATTAACCAATTCAACTACTCCACCAAGACTAAGACCCCTGAATTCTTTTGGACACATCAGCATCTTCTATCGAATCCTTGGTCTTTTCCCCTGCTGTATAAATATAGAAATCATCCTTTTAAGTATTTTAACATCAGATGCAAATATTTCTATCGCTTAAGGCTGGAGAAGATATAACACACGTGGGTGTAAATTCATCCTAATTGTCTAATTTCTGCCAAATAATGATACTGGGGGAATCTCCCATCAAGCCAGATCTGACCTCATTCAGCCTTTAATTTGCCATAATTCACTCCATATAACATTGAGGTTTCTGGAGTGATTATAAGATCCAGATACCTGAATCCATTAGTTGACTGATTAAACGAGATGGCTTTATTAATCTGAGGAGGCCATTCAGCAACCAGCATCACAGCTTCCAACTTTGTTTCATTAACTTAGTGACCTGATATTTCCCCAATTTCCCTCAAACAACTCTGAAGTGCTGGAATGAAGGTTGAGGTCCCACTTACATATAAAGTAACATTGTCTACACATAACTAGTTTCAATGTATGGTTTTGTAGTGACTCCTTTAACTCTAACTTAAGGTACAACTAATACAGAACTGATGCAACAGGAGCTTTATCAGATATATGTTAAAAAATTGTGAAAAATCATTAGGGGTGTTCCAACAGGGGTCGATTTCGATTATGGGAGCTTCTATTCATTGATTATAATGACTGTCTATTGGATTCGAGTATTGGTGCTATGATTCTTCGATTATTGCCATTTTTAATGCTTTTCTCCATAAAAGATTGATTTTGTCTTCATCTGTGGCTACATTTGTCAATAAATAGCCTATCAGTTAACTCAGTTCCTCTAAAACTACACTCAATAAGTAAACAAAAGGTTTTTTTTGAACATTTGACTTGTATTTTTCAAAGACATAAAATATTTTATTTTATGACTATGACTGTTATGTAAACTTTTGCACTTTGACCTACTTAGACTTGGAAGTTTGGTGACAGTCTCCAGGATGGTCCTCTGTGTGGTAGGCACGACCAGAGGAGCCTTCTGTGTTTCAGGATGAAAGCGTACAAGGTGCTGCCTCAAGTACGTGGTGTTGCTGGGGTACTTTATTTTTGATTTGCAAATCTTGCAAATTGCATAGGTCTTGTCATTCGTCATGTTTGCTCTCTCATGAAATCCAAAGTACTTCCACATGGTTGCAGTCAACCCTGGTGGCGAGTGAATCAGACGGTCTTTGGAGGCTGCTGAAGCTATTGCTATTTTGCAAAGAAACTAATGTGCTCTGTTTGTTGTGGTCCCACTCACTAAACAGTCCGGGAAGCACGCGGTTCCGGTTATGTGTTTTTTTGTTGTTCTGGCCTTGCGGCAAAGCATCAATGTTATTATTTATTTATTTTAAGCATCGATGATAATTGATGCCAAATTGTCACATAAAGCATCGCAATGAATCGACACATCGACACAATGAATTGCACCCACCTCTAAAAATCATCAATCTGGTCTTCAAACTGATGATAAAGCGGTGCTGCCGGCAGGTCCTTGAACATTTACTTCACAGAAAATCATGGATTAATTAATAACAAGGGAGGAAGCATCATCTTATGCTGAACCCAGAGAAAAAGTCCTGCTGACTCCTGTATGTCTGGGATTCATCAATGTTTGGGATTCAGCAACCAAGTCACAAACTGTAACTGTAAAGCCAGTGAAACAAACAAGAAGAAATCCTTTAGTTTTTGCTGCACAAGGAAAGACCTACTTAATATGCTCCTCTTTTCTGAAGGAATAACAGAAGACATTGATTCACAAAGTTTATAAAGTTTCCCCTCACTCAGACTGAAAGGGAGTCTGATACGCCCCCCCCAGGCAGTGTCATTGGGTTACTGTTCTCCACAAATTGAGTCTCAAACTCAATAAATCATCTGCAACATTTCATTGATTTGACCTAATGTTCTTTTTTACAAAATGTTCAGAAATACCAATGAAAGTCCGCATTTTCTCAGAAACTTAGGAAACATTGTAACTTTTAAACAATAGCTGAAGACAACAGGCATGAAGTTTGATGGTTTGACATAACAGCTTGCTGATTCCTCTTAATAACAAACAGTCTTATCTTAGTTCATGGCAAGTCCATGTGACAGACAGAGTTCGAGATACACATTCAATTTTAAATGACTTTCACATGTCCCTTTCTCACTACCTCTTAAAGGGCGCTCACACCAAGCACAAGTAAAATCATGTACTCACTTAATTGGAGCGAATCTAGACACTTGAATAAACAGTTTTACTTGCCTCATTCGCACATCAACGGTAATTTCAATGGTATTTCCTGCCAATTCAACCAGCGGGATAGGCAAAGATTCTTTTTACAATTTACCAGGTAATCCAACCTTCTCACTCACTTGCCTCCAGGTGAGCTCTTTTTATTCCGGTTTCCTTTTTTATTTGGTATCGTATAATTCAGGGCACCCACACATCGACACGACCAGTTTGTCCTCCATTTTAGATACCAGTGAACGATTTTCAGCTCCCACCCAATTCGTGCCGCCAGAGTTTTAGGAGCATCTAATCGTGTCTTTACATTGACTTAACATATCATTCATTCGTGCAAATGATTTTACTCATGCTTGGTGTGTGGAGACAGTTAAACAGACCTCTGCAGCTTTAGACTCAGTATTCTCCAATCCTTTCAATGTCATATAAGTAAAATTAATGTTCTGGTATTTCAGAAATGTGTCACTGATTCTGATATGAATCAAAGAAAATCCAGGTTTTTATGCAGGTAGAAAATTAAATGTATGCCAAGAGACTGCTTATGTATAATATTATGTTGCCAAAGTATAAATTCTTCTGCTCCAAAGTATCTGAGCAGAGCAGCACATTGCAGACAGAATGAGAAAAACTGCAGGTATGTTTCAATTTCAAATTAAATGTACTGTTTGTTACAGAGGGTAAACTCCAGTCTGCTGCATTAAAGTGAGACTCACATTTTTCTTGAGCCTCTCTTTATGATGTCTACTCTGTTCATTGTATTAGACATACAGTGAGTCCAAGAAGTATTTGATCCCTTGCTGATTTTCTTCTTCTAATAAAGATGTGATCATTCTGCACGTTTAATGGTAGATGTATTCTAACATGGAGAGACAGAATATCAAGACAAAAATCCAGAATATAACTTTAAAGAATATATTTTAATTAATTTGTATTTCATTGAGGGAAATAAGTATTTGATCCCTCTAGCCAAACACACTCAATACTTAGTGGCAAAGCCTGTGTTAGCAATCACAGCAGTGAGACGTTTGTTGTAGTTAACCACAAGTTTAGCACACACACCAGGGGGAATTTTGGCCCACTCTTCTTTGCAGATCCTCTCTAAATCAGGAAGGTTGGTGGGCTGTCGCTTGGCAACTCTGACCTTCAGCTCCCTCCATAGATTCTCAATCGGATTGAGGTCCGGAGACTGGCTGGGCCACTCCATGACCTTCATGTGATTTTTCTTGAGCCAATCCTTTGTTGCCTTTGCTGTGTGTTTCGGGTCGTTATCATGTTGGAAGACCCAACCACGGCCCATTTTCAGCTTCCTGGCAGAGGGGAGGAGGTTGTCCCTCAGGATTGTATGGTACATGGCTCCATCCATCTTCCCAGTGATGCGGTGAAGTAGCCCTGTACCCTTGGCAGAGAAACACCCCCAAAACATTATGCTTCCACCTCCATGCTTGACGGTGGGCACAGTGTTCTTGGGGTCATAGGCAGCATTTTTCTTCCTCCACACATGGCGGGTAGAGTTGAGGCCAAAAAGTTCAATTTTGGTCTCGTCTGACCACAGAACCTTCTCCCAATAACTTGGTTCATCTTTCAGGTGATCATTGGCATACTTCAGGTGCGCCTCCACATGTGCCTTCTTGAGCAGGGGTACCTTTCGGGCACTGCAGGATGTTAATCCATTGTTGCGCAAAGTGTTGCCAATTGTTTCCTTGCAAACTGTGGTCCCAGCTGCCTTCAGGTCATTTACCAACTCCTGACGAGTGGTTGCAGGATGATTTCTGACCGTTCTCAGGAGCATTGTCACCCCACGAGGTGAAATCTTCTTTGGAGCACCGGGGCGAGGTCTGTTGATGGTCATGTTATACTCTTTAAATTTTCTAACAATTGCACCAATAGTTGTTACTTTCACATCCTCACACCTTGCTAATCTTTTTGTAGCCCATTCCAGCTTTGTGGAGGTCAACAATCCTGACTCTGAGGTCCTGAGACAGCTCTTTGGTCTTACCCATGTTGGAGACTTGAAATCTGTCAGATTGTCTGATTCTGTGAACAGGTGTTTTTCACACAAGTGATTAGTGAGAACAGGTGGCTTCAGTTCAGGTAACAAGCTGATTGGGAGTGTCTAACTGGTCTGTGAAAGGCAGAACTCCTAATGCACACTGAGGGATCAAATACTTATTTCCCTCAATGAAATACAAATCAATTAATATATATTCCTTAGATTTTTTTTCAGGATTTTCTTTTTGATATTCTGTCTCTCCATGTTAGAATGCATCTACCATTAAATGTGCAGAATGATCACATCTTTATTAGTGGGCAAACGAAGAAAATCAGCAAGGGATCAAATACTTCTTGGACTCACTGTAATCTTCTATAAAGTGAGCGGGCTAATAGATCATAAAGTTAAAGTCACTTTGATCAATTTTTTTTATTGTGAAAGTAAGTTGAACCAAATTGTACATGTTGTTTTAACAGCATTCCCAAATCTCATGGTCTGGTGTAAATCAATTTTTTTGTGCCACTCTTGTCCAGTTGGTGATTGTAATTCCTTCTTTTGGGCTAGTCTGCCCACTATTAACCAGTAAAAGGACACAAAGACGGCTTTGACATGTGGAGAAAACAAGCCAGTGACATGACCCAAACCAGTTCTGAGGTTTTTTACAAACTGAGTATCAGATAATGTGGCCTGGTGTTTAGTTATCTTCAGCGTGCAAACACCTTCCTCCACCTGTTAAGAGCTAACTTCTCATCACCAACAATTACACCATCACTGAAGCACAATCAGCATCTTCACTCTTTGATTTGTGTTGATGAGCTGAGAGTGTGAAGAAATATAATTTTCTTTGACTGAGAATTCAAAGCTCGGGTTATGTCACTGACCCCTTACGGAAATTCACTATGGTTTACTATGATTAATGGTTTGCATGTTTTTTTGGGTAACCATGAACACCATGGTTTACAACTATAGGTTTACCATGGTTTTTATTTTACCATGGCTCATTTCACCATGGTTTTTATTTTGCCATGGTTTATTTCACCATGGTTTATTTTACCATGGTTTATTTCACCATGGTTTTTAATCCATGTTTTTTTTTTTTTTTTTTTTTTTTATTTACCAAGGTCTTTCCAAACCATGGTTTTCTTATTTTAAATCCCTCCATTAATCTGGTTTCACAAAACTATGTGGAATAATATTTACATTAAACAATGAATAGGCTATTTGTAAAGTAACATCAAATGTAATTAAAAATCCCATTTCATACTTCCATCTAGCTATCAAAAGCCATAAAGCAAGAGAATCATTCAATCTGTATGTAATTTATATCTTTATTGCAAGGCATCACTTGTGCAGTTGCCTAGGAATCGCTAGGTCCAGCTCCAAATCTGTGTGTAAGAGAGGAATAGGGACAGATATTTAGATATTAAAGATCAAAGACTGCTTGCAAAAATAAATCATAATAAAAAATAAATCATATTACATGCTATTTTTTGTAGGTTTTGCTTTCACTATTTAGTTTGTTCCGAATGGCTCCCCTCAGTATGTTCATGTCGGTGTCTGGGAATTTCTTTAACGTGTAATCTGAAAAAAATCATGGGACAAATGGAGTGTGAAGCCAGGGGTTGGCAACCTTTCGGACATGGGGTGCCACATTTTAATTTTCATGTTAATGAAAACTGACTAAGAGAGACTCACTAACTGAGAGAGAGATTGACTGACTGACTGGCTGAGAGAGAGACTGACTGGCTGACTAACAGAGAGAGAGGGAGAGAGAGAGAGAGACTGACTGACTAAGAGAGAGAGAGAGAGGGAGAGAGAGAGAGAGAGACTGACTGACTAAGAGAGAGAGAGAGAGAGACTGACTGGGTACACCTGGCATTATTTTTAGACATAAGTGTGTGCCATGGTTGAATTGATGTGGAATAACTTGCGGAATGTTTGAAATCAACCACTGAAATCATTGTATTAAACTCTCCAGAGTCCAAGCTATACATACACAGGTTAAACAGCACAAACTACATGATTTATGAAAGCCTTTTAACTTCAGATGTGATTTAGCATTCACGGACATGCCCCAACTTCCTCCATCCTATGGATTTTCTAATGTATTTCAGTGGAATTAAATGGGTTTGGAAACAATGGTTGCACACTGACCATGTGGCCAACCTCCACGCACATTGAGCATAAGATAATGACAAGTCATCTGTAAATGAAAACTTACCAATAATAGCCTTGACTGAGGTGGCGTCCAAAGGTGGCTTAATAGCCTCTTTGGCGCTGGCTTTTAGGCCAGTCAGGGATGAAGTTGCCATCTCCACCCAAGAGAAGACAATCCCCATCAGGTCGCAAACAAGTTTGGTCGGGTTCCTTGCTTATCTTGAGTCCCTCACCAAGGAGAACCTGGAAATTTATGTAACAATAAAACTGAAATGAGTCTTCCTTGCCACTATCATTTAATATTGGCTGCCTAGGCCTACCTTGTACCCTTGATAATTGACATTTTGGATTAATATTAGGATTTAAGATTTAGTAGGCAACAATTCAATAATTTGCAGTTTATGCCAATGCTCTGGAGGGAGGGCTTCCTGCTCTTGTTACGTTGTTCAATAAGCAACAGTCAAAGTTTTGCTCTTACAATATTTAATATTGAATATTAGCATAAATGAATAATAGTAATTCTAAAAAGACTTGGTAAACTACTAGCACTGACCACTCATAGGACTTAGTCTAATTAACAAACTATGGGAGCTGGAAAGAGCTAGCCTTAGTTTATTAGTAGCTTAGAAAGAATCCCATATACACACCATTTTGGAAGTCATTATTAGAGGCAATAAGAAGATATGATGTCTCTTCTATAACATATTTACAACATTTATTCTTAAATTTTGTGCCTTTGAAAATTAATACAATAATAACAAAAAATAAATAATTGTTTGCAAAATGGCCAGTGTGTGGGACTTTTCTAAAGGGGTGTGCAAAAACATTTCCTATGGTAAACTTAGAATTGTCATATAAAAGTCACTCACGTCATCATTTGTGGCATCTATAGCCTGTGGAGAGGAGCTGTTGGTGGTGGCTTGCTTGTTGTGGGTGGTGACTTGCTCGTTGTGGGTGGTGGCTTGCTCGTTGTGGGTGGTGGCTTGCACCATGGCTGTCTCTCTCACCAAAGTTTCCTTTAACTCAGAAACCATATTCCTTAGATCTAAAGGAAATAGACATTAACACCCTTGTTAACACTCTTAAAGAATAATTTAAATATATATATATATATGTGTGTGTATAGTAGTCAATTTATTAGTAGAGTCACTCTGTGTCAAATCACCCACACACCCTCCCAGAAAAATCAGAAAAGAAAATTGCAGATGTTTGTACAAGCCTTTGAATAGATCTGACATAGTTAGTCTATTGCTGTGTCTCAATTTAGAGTTCCATAGTATACTTTTAACCATTTCAACAGAGAGCTACTATGCTATGTGAAGAAGAGTAAAATCTGTACAAAGTACAAAATCTGGCCAATAAACAAATTGTTTGAAAACTTACCATGAACTGTATCCAACTGAAGGGTGAGTTTCCTCCTGTCTTCCTCCAGTTCCTTTATTCGCAGCCTGAGTTCCTCACATTTTGCGCAGTCTCTGACTGGGGTCCCCTTAAAATAAAAGAATTAGATTCATTTTCTAAGTTCTAACCACCTGATGTCATGCGATCTTTCTAATAGACTTGAAGTAGACAAAGGAACGCAATGATGTGGCTGTTAGACATTTGTATGTGTTATTTGTGTGGAATAACTAACAGTTACCTGTTCTCTAGTAGATGCTTTTTCACTCTAAAAGAGATTGAAAAAGAAAGACCATGCATTTGTGTGGGGTTTTTGTGTCCTAACAAATATAAAGTAACAAACAGTCCTACACAATCCATGTTTTACAGCAATGAAAAAATACCAATTTGATTAAATATTACAGAACTTACACTGAATCTGACGTCTTTGTTGGAGCCGGTTTTCAATTTGTGCTGGACGACGCACATCTTCCTTTTCAATCTCAAGAGAGACATGAAATATTATAAGTTAAGTGGAATTAAAGGACAATTCTAGGCCATTTGAACCTTTGGCTATAGTCTCCTAAAATTTTATGTGTAAAGAATGTTTTTGAAGATTTTCAGTTTAATCTCTCCTGTTTAGTGGGAGCTGCGTGGGTGTTAATGTGACTTAGTGTTTATCTCTATAAGGTGGCCCTGTGATTATCCAGTGACCTGTCTGTTGTTTACATTGCCCAATATCAGGTTAGGATTAGCCCTAGTCAGCTGTCTAAAATATTTGTTCACCACAGAAATACTCAGTCATAACAAGGGGAGGAGATAACTGAAGATGGATTCAGGTCGGAACAAAACACAAGGTATAAAGCTGATGGCCAAAAATTGTGAATTGTCTGTCCACTTGTTGGCAGTTATGTGGCACAAATTCTGGAGGCCACATTAGGTGCCTCTGCTATTCATTCAGGGTGTCTTGGGCATCACATGAAACAAACCAGCGTGTCTACTCTTATTCCCATTAAAAGGTGTGCTTGTTGGCAGGGGTGTTACTATTTACACAGCCGTTTGCAGAATTTCTACTTAGGGATTTAAGCTGACACTTTAACTTCCATTCCTTCTACTGTGCCTCTAAAGATTCAGAAAACACAGTTATGAGTTATGTCCATTCATGCACAGATGTTTAGTCCACTGAAACTATTTCTCAGACACATGGTTACATCTATGCATGTGGCACAGCAGCGATAGCTATTATTTTAAGAGATGTCTCCTGTTCTTACTGCCTGTTTAATAGATATTATTTGGTCTATCTTCAGATCTGCAGTAAAGATTGTAAATTTTAAAAAAAATTTAAAAATTTAAAAAATAAATAACTTTTTGTATGAAAACCTCAGTCTGAACAAGCATGTCAACCTTGTTGTGTAGTATTGTTTTATGAAGCTGAGGAGACTCCTCACAGTAAAGTCATTTATGACAAAAAAATAAATAAATCTGGAGATCATCATTCATGCTTTATCTCTTGCCTTTTTGGGTCACCTCTCTGTACACATGTCTAAACCAACGAGTCTACACAAGTTCACAGTTCATCTTGAATACAGCAGCTTGCCTCCTCACTGAAACCACAAAGAGATCATATAACTCCTTTTGACTTCATCGGCTCCCGTAAGTGTTTGACTTGATTTTAAGATTGTATCATTAACTTTTATAGCACACTGGTCTTGGACCAGAGTACACTTTAATCTCCTCACTACATTTGTGCCCTGCTCACCATTCCTCAGTCTAGGCTGAGGTCCAGATGTGAATGGGCCTTTTCTTTCAGAGCCCAACCCTCTGGAACAACCTCCTTTAGGAGATCAAAATGGAAACCAGTTTTTAAGCTTTTTTAAAAACACATTTTCACAGATGTGACTTTAAATCTTTACATTCTGCTTTTATTCTGAGCCAAAGCAGAATCAGAGACAGCATCTTCTAGCTTTTAATTGTCATGAATTATAAAGTAATATATTTTGTGTAGTTCTTTTACCTTTCTTTTTGCTTGTCCATGGTTTTTGTGGTCTTTTTGTTTTTATTCCCTTGTCGATTTCTTATCTGTTTTGATATGTCTTAGGATGTTGAATCACCACTATGTTGCTGAACTTTTAGATTTTCAGTCATTTTATTCTTCACATTTTTTTTGTGTGTGTGTGTCTTCTCTTTCTATTTTGTTTTAATTTGTAAAGCACTTTGCAACCCTGTTTTGAATAGTGCTATGTGTATAAAGTTTATTATTATTATTATTAGTAGTAGTAGTAGTAGTAGTATTATCATGGATGTTGTTGTTGTTGTTGTCATTCCACAAACTAGTGAGACAAGAGAAGAGATGTGTTCTGCAAGGTTTTAAAATTGTCCACAATTAACTTTTTATGCTGGAAATGTGCTCAGCTTATGATGGAGGAAGTTCAATTACAACAACAGATGATTTCTTTTTTTGCATGTCACGCCAAAACACTTACAAACCACAGCTGCTGAAAGACTCAGAGATGTGTTTCCCACCCTGCACTATCACAGATGCCACAATCAGAAACAAAAAAACACAGTTTTCTCCTTCTTGCACATGACATGGACATTATTTTTAGGTCTGGAGCACAAGGACAGAAACAGTATCTTCACAAAAAGCATGCATAACAAGATGATTTCAGCAAGAGGAATAATGACTGCCATTTACAACATGTTTCCAAAACCGGTATCTGTTTCAATACTGGTTTTGATGGAATAGCTTTATTTCAAAGGAAAACATGTCAGAAAGGCCTTCAGGAATACAGTGAAACTTCCAAGGATGATGAAAACAACACAAGCAGAATGAAATACAAACAGTTTACCCTGAGCAGCATAAAGGTCTCAGGGACAGACAGTTCTAAAGTTTAGGAGTAACATCCTCAAAGTCTCCTTTAGTTCTGAGTCTGGTTCAAGACACAACCAGCAAGCTTTGGTCAGTGGACCTCAGAGTCCTGTTGGAGTTATGGCCTCAGCAGGTTTCTGATACAAGCAATAGCTTAACCGTGCAACACTGTACATAATCACTAGTATTTTTAATGGATTCTAATGAGAACAGGGAGCCAGTGTAAAGACCTAAGGATGGGTTTGACCTGAGACCGTCTCAATGATTTTGTCAAAAGCTGAGCTGAGGTATTTTGGACCACTTGCAGGCAGTTCAAAGAAGTGACATTTAGACTTGTGAGCAGAGAATTACAATTGTCCAGATGAGATTAAGTAAAGGCATGAACAGTCATCTCAGGCTCATTCCTGTACACTTGGGGTCTGAGATTCTATTGATTTCTTAAACAGTGTCAGGAGGAGGGAATCAAACCACTTGCATGCTGATCCAGACTCAGGGCACAGTCCATTTGGACACCCAGGTTTTGGAGGGCCGATTTTACAGCACAGAATAGGACATGCTCAGGAGCTGAGATAAGAGAACTGGAGAAAATTGTCTGCCATTCATGCCTTATAACAGTCCGCACAATCAATCAAAATTGACAATTTAGAGACATTATTAGGCTTAAAGGTGTGCAGCTGGATGTCACCTGCATGTAAATAATAAGATACACCTGTAAGGGTTTTTTATAAGATACCCCAGTGGAGGCAGGTTTAATGATGACAGCTGAGGGCCTAGGACAAAACCCTGAGGGATTCCACAAGCAGGGCCCCCTACTATTGAGTCATATTTTTGTAGACTTGCTGCTGTGTCTCACACAGCATTTCGTCCATATCTCTGTTTATTTGGTATCTGATCATATTTGTTGTACAGGAGATTTGTTTTAATCATTGATTTAACTCATGCAGTGTGTATGAGTAGAAAGGCTGAACTCTGGCATGTAAATGTATCTGCTTACAGGCCCACTCTGCACTAGTGTAGACAGATATACTGATTGGTTTGATTCATGTTACACTTAAAACACAAGTTTGAATTATCAAGAGACTTTTTCAATCTCTTTGCACCCTGCACTTTACAAGTCCAGAACTTAACCAGTAAATTGTGTCCAGGTATGTCCTTATTCATCTTAGACCATGTACTTTAGATGGTAACAATGATTTTTTCATCTATTACCACAAGGCTAGTAGTGCTTATAGCACACTGTGGTTTCCTTAAATTACAGCCAAATAAAAAGCTTAGCCATGGCATGAACTGGAACATCCCCAGGAGCACTCCCAGATCAATCCATTAGCAGCTTGGATGGTGGGGCTGAGCAGAAACCCCCTCAGAGAAGGCTTAACAGTCAAGGGTTCGGTGTCCTGAAGGAATAATATTAACATTGAATTATTGTCATTCGGGCTGAGAGAAAGAAAACTGTGCCACGGAGACAAATCCTTAATTACATGCCTGTAAGAATAGGATGATTAGAGAGGAAACCCACTGACCATTTATAACCCCTCTGTAAGACATAGTGGAAGGGAAGCACCTTTTTTTCTGAATGTGTTGCTTTGGTGAATAGAGTATCTGCAGCCTTTTAACCAAAAGGTAAGAACTTGTAGGCTCAAAGTGAGAGATATGCATGTGTAAATGGGTTTGTTACATAGCTGTACAATTTGGGATGCAACCATTGTTTTTTGTTTTGAAAATATTTTATTTTGAAAGTCCCAGCAGACGTTAGTGCTGTTGTTAGTGCTGCGCACCACTTGGTTCGGCAAACCAGTCTGTAACATCTCTGCTGGTGATGAGTTGGTCTCCCGTTCGCTCAGTTACATTTTTTTCAGTATTTGTTAATGGGTGCATAAAGTGTTAAAACTATGATAATTCATTACACATAGTGATTGTGATAAGAAACATTTACAGTTTAAGTTGCTGTGTTGTTAAAACAATTTATAATAATCTAAAAACGGCACCACTGGCTTAAACTAGCTAGCCGCTAATGAGCTGTGATGTACACGCTGCGGTCTCATTTACTGATGCGTGACCCTGTTGTTGTTGTTAATGCTGGGGGTGAACTTTGGGCTAATTTCCCAAGAACTAGGCTGCTGTGGTTGTTTCATTATCCCATATTGCAGAATAAATCAAACTGAATGCCACATCCATCCTGTCTCCCGAGAGTGTGTACAAGCAACAGGCAGAGCAAAGTAGAAGAGAAAACAAAAACAAAAATAAAAGCCAGGAAAGATCGATAGACCATATTCAAGTCATCAGGCTTTCAGCCTCCAGTGCCACTTCTGTCAACTAACATTTCTATTTACAATATTAAGATGCTTTCTTTCACTTCTATTTCTGTTATTATTTGTATATTAGTTTTGTCCTCCTGTCTTTGAGACATGAAAATTTTCTGATTCTCTTCAGTGTTGAGAAGCACCTTTCAGATTCAGCTGTGGTCATTGGAGTTGGGATGAGGATCTTCAGCAGAGCCTCAGTCTCTGAGAAGGTGTCCTGAAAATTGTCGCTCATGAAGAGCTGGTACAGAACCACAGCACCAGTGCAACTCCTGAACTCTGTTGCTGAAGATGAGTGACAGTTCGTTTTTTTGCTTGCCCTTGTTTAGCAAGGCATAGGCTTCCAACGCGGTGTTGCACGCTGCTTCAGGGAACTGGCTGTCATACTCCTGGAATCTGTCTCCTTGGAGCAGTGTAGCACTGATAAGGTGTTTGGTGAAAGCAAACCTCTCCTTTGTATGGCCCAGGATGGTGTCACAAACCTATTAAAAAAGACACATTATATCATACAGGACCTACATAAAAGGGTCTTGTCCATACTATTGAATATTATTCAGAAAATGTGTATCAATAATAGAATAGAATGGGATATACTTTATTGTCCCTTTGGGTAAATTTGCTGACTCAAAATGCTTGTAGTTCAAGCTATCTGACATGAATAAATAAGACATGACTGATACACAGGTATAGTAGGACATTGTGTTACCTGAGCCACAGCTTCCATCTCACGTCTGTAGCTATCCTCTGCAGTTCATCTGGTCCCAAGGTGCAGCGCTTCTTGGCCAACAGCTGCTGAGGCACACAGCTGTAATGTTCTTTACTGAGAGCAGGGAGGGAGTCTCTGACCAGCCCCAAAAGACATGTTTGTTGCTCAAACAAACATGTCTCTGCATCTTCCACAGCATACATGAAAGTGCCTGTGTGTTTGGAGGAAATGAATGAGTGGGGGAATAAAGGAGACTCATACAAATTCTTCTGTAGTCCTTTCTTGCAAGCCATGCTTTGTTAGTTGTAATTGGACAAGTAAATCTGTATGAATACTCACCGGTGGCAAAGAACCTCAGCGCGAGGCAGACCGTCTGCGGGACTGTGAGCGCCCGACTGCAGTGGGTGATGTTCGCCACATGAGGCTCCAACAACTCACAAATATACCACAGCCCCTCCACAGAAAACCTGTAATGATGAGAGTAAAAGCTCAGTAAAAGCTCAGACAATCCAAGTGTTTTCAGAAGACTGACAATTTACAGATTTACCCCAAAGGGCCTGACTTCAGCAGCTGAGATCATCATGACAGACTGTTTTAGGTGGGTGCTTTTATAATGTCCGTCAGACGGAAGCAGAATTCCAGGGAACAACATCCAAATTCGCAGCCATTCAAGAGCTCTAAATGAGATGTTTCCTGGCTGTTAGCAGAGCTGAGAGGAGTCACTGACATAAATCTCTTTATCATTACAATTACATTTTGTTTTGTTGTCTTGCCAGAACTTCCTGCTGTGCCACATGCTGAGCGTTGAATGAAACATTGGACAGAACAAAGTCCCCACTTCATCCCCACCATCTGTCTGTCTGAAATTATTGATGTTTGAGGACCTGACTGAAGACAGCTGGAGTAAAAACTGCTTTTCAAAGATTATTTCCAATGTTGTGCTTTTGTTCAGTTTAAAAAGGTCAGATGTGTTTTGTGTGGTCCACTGTCCACATAGACTTAATGATCAGTTGCATCACAGGGTGACATGAGATGAGGTTTAGTAGTAATATTTGGAATTTCATCTCTTTTCTCTCTTAGGAGCGACTGACCAATGTTCAACTGCTGTTCACATGGAACCCTTCACCACTTTGGCCTTCAAAGTTCTTGTTTGAATATTTGCTCTTTCGACTCCTGAACAGCTCTTCATTTCGGATCTTTTGTACCCCTGTATTTTACCTCACTCTGCAAAAAATTAATTGTTTGTGCATTGAAAACACTTAAGCATTCAATGTTTTTATAAAAAGCCTTATAATTGCCTAGTTTTGTGCATTTATTGTTACAAACCCATCCTTCCTTTTAATAATCTAATCACACTTTTTAATTGCACAAATTGACAGTGCAGCATCATTCAGAAAAATCTGATGCCTCAGCTTGGATGTGTCTGCCCCCTTCTCTGTTTTCACATAAAAGTACAATCCCATATCTTCACATGTGATTGGCCACATGGCCACCATGCTGGGCAATCAAAACAAAGTTCTGCTCAAGCAGAGCTGAGGCCATAGACATAATAAAGAGTAGATGCCCGGCTCTATTCATGGAATAGACACCCTTTGTGGAAACCATAGACTGTATATACTATGGACAAATTGGTTCCGCCTACCGCCTGTATACGGATTTGAAGCCAAATAGCTCTTGGTATTTCCAGGATTTTTCTTCGTTTCCTGAAACCAGCGCTGCGCAGTAGCAATGCGCGCATTCGGCAGTCGCAGAGAGTCGCTGTGATGACGCTCGGCTCAAACAGCGTATCCCCTGGAAGAGCTACGCAATCCCTGAACGCCCATAGGCTGTATCAGGTGTCAATCATAGAAAACATGAACCCCCTAATAACTTTTAAAAACGGAGCTTCACAGAAAAAAGAGGACTTGAGCACAAACCAGTCTTACAATAACTACATGTCAACATCACAAGCATGGGGGAGAAAAATGTATGTTCTGTGTAATAAATGTCTAAAGTTTGTCCACAGTCCCATAAGCTTTGCTGGCGGAGGTGGGATTTTCGACTTATACTGCAGCCCGTCAACAGAGGGTGCTGTTCTTGGAGTGGCTTCACCCAGCGAGGAGGCAGACTCTGTCCATTCTTTATACAGTCTATGGTGGAAACACATCGGACCGAGTTGCTAAAGCAGAAGAACTACCGTGTGCAAAACGATTAATATGATTATAACTTCGAGGAAATGATGAAATAATGATCATAAATGTTCTTCCCTTAGCTGCGTCACCTCGCTGCAGTCAGTGATGGACTCATCCGAGGTCAGCCTACAAACAAGTGGCTGCTTGAAGAGAGTGGGTAAGTTGTGTTTAATCTCTGCTAAAGAAATCAGGCAAAGCTAAAAAGATGTTTGGTGGCTAGTACTATGGCTGGGACCATAGATGTCCTGTTGATGAAGTAAAGTGCTGTTCTGAGCATTATTTGTGGCTATGGAGTGGCTTTTTGGCTGATGTTTGTGCTTGGTTCCTTAGACTGCTGTGTATTGCCATCGTGCGGTTGTTACTAAATTTGGTGTAACAAGAGAAGCAAGCGGTCAACAACATTCATCTCTCAAGGGGGTGTTTAACTCGGTGTTACGGTGTGTTTGACCTTAAATTAATTTTACGCCAGAATATCCCTTTAAGATGGAGGTGAATGCTAGTGCTACAGGTGGAGGCGTTGTCCTGTTACAGGAGGATGACCATGGCATCAACCACCCAGTCTGTTATTTTCCAAAAAATTTAACAGACACCACGTCCAGTACTAGGGGTGGAGCCAAACCCAAATACGGTATTCAGAAATACACAAATAACATGTTTTTTTTACACATAATTATTTCGAACAAATACTTAAAAAATATTAGAATTTGGGAACAAAGAAAACATTTCAAAAAGCTGCATACCCAGATGAGTGACCAAGTGACGTTCAGGAGTTGGGGGAGGGGAGAAATTAAAAGTGTCTAACAGACACAGGCTGCGTAACACAGCAACAGAGAAGGCCAAGCTGAGGGAAAGAAGACTAAACTGCATCACAATTTTGCTGAATACATTTTTGTACCTTAGCTAGGTTCTGGAGGCAGTTTGTAACTTTTGGGAAGCGGAGTTTGACCGGGAGATTATTCCATTACACTGCACTAGTATTGACATCTGCAGTCTGGCGCTCTAATGTTCACTCAGTTAACTTAGCTCTGTTAGCTCGGTAATTTAGACAAGAGGCTGTCAATAGTATTACGTTAATGTTTGGTGCAAAAGGTTACACAAGGCTTGTGTAGTTGTTTGGAATTTAATGCACTTGTTGGAGTTATTTATTTGCAAAGGTGCATTTAAGTTACTCTGTGTTTTGCAGACAGCAAGATATAGACTTTAGGCTAGTTAACCTTAGCACAGCTTTCTGTCTCTCTTTAACCTAGCTGAAACCCTACCACATAGAATAAGAATAAGAATAACTTTATCAATCCCTGAAGGGAAATTCCATTGTCTGTTGTCTTATATAATATGTCTCAAAAAGTTATCTACTATTTAAGACTTATAAAGTCTAATGGCTGTTGGTACAAAAGATCTTCTCAATCTTTCTGTCCTGCAGCGAAGAGAGAGGAGCCGTCCACCCCATTGGCCCTTTGGTCCATCAAGGTGTTGTGATGGATTTGGGCAACCAAATAGAAAAGAGAGTGGCTGCTGCTGAGCCATCTCTTGGTGCTCCACCAGCCAAAAAACCTTGCTCAAGTTCTGTGTGGCAGCATTTTACAGTCAGTGCTGCAGATAAAACCAAAGTGATATGTAATGTGTGCAAAAGTCAAATCAGCAGAGGCAGAGATATCATACATCTGTCAACGTCTGCTATCGATAATCATGCACTTAAAGCATCTTCTCCTGGTACTGTTCGCCAACTCCCCCGTCAGCACCATTTCGTCATCACAGTCATGTTCTGCCCCTGCAAGTCAGATTCAATCACCTTTATTAGCTGCATTTAATGCAAAACGGGCTTATCCACCCAACCATCCCACTGCAAAGCAAAAAACAAACAGTGGGAGAAATGATTTTCCTTGCCCTGATGCGTTACTCAGTAGTGGAGAATAAACGTTTTCGCAACTTTCTCAATGTAGTTGCACCTCGATACCAACTACCATCTTGTTGGCATTTCTCTCGCAAGGTTTTACCACAACTTTACCAAAAGTGGGAAAACATCTGGACGAGCAAATTTTCCACAGATGCATATCTTTCTCTCACTGGCCACTGGATAGAATGCAAACAAAGTCCAAAAGGAATTTATGAGCATAAACGGGTGACAGCACTTCTCAAGATGGAGGTTATTAATGAAGATTACATAGCAGCCAGCATCCTACATCGCCTCCAGGCCCTTGTGAAACAATGGCAAGATGATGTGGGAGCGAAATTTTCTGTCGAGTATCTTGTCACAGATAATGCCACCAACATGGTTAAGGCAATGGCTGATGGCTAAAGACAATGCTATGTTTATCCTCTGCTTTTGTAGTAACTCTCTTTCGTCCAGGTCTTTTTCTATCATCATAACTTCCAGGTTCCTCTAGTCTCTTCAGAGTGTAGTGGACTCCTTTGTTAAACACTTTTAGGCGTTTTGCAATTCTCGTCAGGTGGCTGAGGTGTCTTGGTGGCTGAGGTAGAGGTCAGCACTATGGAGTGTGCACCACGCAGCAAAACTCAACAAACTTTTGCTGAATTTGATTAAATAAAATGAGTACCGACGCTGACAATCAACAGTGAGTTGCATTGAATATTATGGATGTGAATTAATCGTGGATTAACTGCAAACATTTGGAAATGCCAGGCAAAGCACGAGGACGTGGAGGAGCCGGCAGCACCGGCTTACACACAGCTGATGATCATTCCGAATCAGAAGAAGAAAACGACTTGAGACTTGATGACATACTACATGAAATAAAAGAATTCCATGCTGAAACAGGCAAAAACCTTGGAGTAATAAAACAAGAAGTGACCGAATTGCGTGAAAGCTTTGGACATTTAAGCATGGATGCAGCAGAGTCAAGAATCGCGGAAGGTGAGAATTGTCAAAACGCAATGACAAAGGCGCTGCTGCACAGCATGCGTCTTGAGAAACAATTGGAAGAAAGATGTGAGCAAATGGAATCTCATTCCCCCAAGTGCAATGTGAGAATACATTCTGTGTGTGAGAAAATAACAGAGAGAGGCGACATGGTGAAGTTTGTCAAGGAAATCATCCGGGATAAACTTGGCATGGGCCTTGAAAAAATCAGCATAGCAGCAGCGCACAGGATCGGGAAAAAGACAAGAACAGAGGATCGGCCCAGGTCAATAATAGTCCGTTTTCAGAATGAGAACATGAAACAGCGTGTGTTACGGGCGGCATGGGAGACAAAGGACCTTAAGATCAGAGACAAGAGGATTTATTTCGAGGAGGACTTCACTGACCGCATTTATAAGGAACGTGGACAATGTGGAAGAAAACAACTCCTAGAAAAGAACATAAAGTCAAGAATTGTGTACCCCGCTAAATTGAAAGTATTTGAGAAGGATGGACAATACAAGTTGTTTGATAACCCGCAAGCAGCAGCAGAGGGCGTACAAGCGTACGGCGTTATGGTGGATATCCAAGCCGCCAGACCAGACTTTGAGACTACACTAAAGGCAGCAGGATGGCAGACAGCAGGCGCTGGGAAGAAGAGGACGAGAGAAAATGAAGATGAACTAATGGCAAGTGTCAAGACACTACTGGACTCTCAGAACCGGCATGGAAAGGACAATGACTAAAGGAATGGGTCTGCACAAAGAAGCACAAATGTGTAGGGGTTTGCTTCTAGACAGAGGGATAGGCTACAGCCATTCTAAAGGTGAAAATGACTGAGATGGTTGGGAGTCAAATCTTCACAGGTTCTGATGAAGAAAATATGTATGATTTATATGATGTAGACCCTGAGAATCATTTATTTAGTTATGTTGGAGACACTTGTAAATACTATAGTAACCAACAAATTAATGATAATGTAGAACTGGACAATTCATTTTCACTTATTCACTTTAATTCCAGAAGTATGTACGCAAATTTTACGGACATAAGGGATTATTTGGACACATTCAATAATAAATTCAAGGTCATTGCGTTGTCTGAAACATGGTTGAACGAAAACAGAGGTTCTTATTTTTATCTTGAGGGTTATGAATTATATCATGTCAATAGGGCCAACAAAAGGGGTGGGGGTGTGGCCTTGTATGTTGACAGTAACCTGGGGTGCAGAAGGGTAGAAAACATGACAACAACAATTGATGATTTAATGGAATGTTTGATGGTGGAATTAGAAATAGAAGGAAGGAGAAATATTGTAGTTATGTGTATTTACAGAACCCCTGGGTCTAATGTTGAGACGTTCAAAGACAATTTGGAAGAGTTAATGAAGAGATTAAATGATAAGAGTAAGACATGCTTAATTTGTGGTGATACCAATATTGACCTAATTAACGTATTAAAACACAAAGTAACATCAGATTATTTGGATGCATTATACAGCAGAGGTTCTAACCCATTAATCACTAGGCCTAGTCGGATTACCATGACCAGTGCAACTCTAATTGACAATATTTTTATTAACACACTGGAGAACAACATTAAAAGTGGACTAATATTTAACGATATAAGTGACCATTTACCCATATTTGTAACATACAAAGATAGCCAAATAAAGAATTACAGAGATCAAAAATGTCCAAGATATAGGAGGGTAAGAACAGAGGAAGCAATAAATAAATTAAGAAAGGACCTTTTAAGTGAAGAGTGGGAAGGGGTATACATAGATGCTGTGAACGATGCATATGAGTCTTTTCTGAATTATTTTTTATCTCATTATGATAGGCATTGCCCAATAATGCAATGTAAAAACAAGAGTAATTACAATAAAAAGCCTTGGATAACAAAGGGCTTGCAAAACGCCTACAAAAAGAAAAATAAACTTTATAGAGACTTTATTAGATTTAGAACAAGAGCTGCAGAAATTAAATACAAGGCGTACAAAAATAAATTGACAATTATAATGAGGCAAGCAAAGAAAGAATATTACAACAAGAGACTTGATGAGAATAAAAATGATTTAAAAGGTACGTGGAAAATCTTGAATCAAATGATAGGAAATATGTATGTTTCTACAGAGCTTCCCACCCATCTTATTAATGACAGCAAGAAAGTTATTAAAAATATGAATGAAGTGGTAAATGAATTTAATTCATTCTTTGTAAATGTGGGGCCGAGCTTGGCCAATGCCATTCCACATGAAAATGGACAAGAAGATGGTGGATATGAGAGAGGAAGTAAGATAATGCAGTCCATGTATTTAGAAGAAGTGAGTGAAGATGAAATCATATCCATTGTGGTTAAATCAAAGAATGAAATATCAACAGATAGTGATGGGATAGATATGAGTATTGTGAAAAAAACTATTGACTGTATTATCAAGCCCTTAAGGTATATTTGTAATCTTTCATTTAGTACAGGTGTTTTCCCAGATCGCATGAAAACTGCCAAGGTTATTCCTCTTTTCAAAACTGGAGACAAACATGATTTTACAAATTATAGACCGGCGTCGTTACTCCCCCAGTTTTCAAAAGTGTTGGAAAAGTTGTATGTACAAAGATTGAATTCATTTATTGAAAAGAATAATCTGCTAAGTGAGAGTCAGTATGGTTTTCGAACCAAACAGTCCACAGCATTAGCACTCATAAGAATAACTGAAGAAATAACACAAGCAATAGATGATCATAAACACACAATTGGGTTTTTTATCGATTTAAAGAAAGCCTTTGATACATTTAATCACACAATATTAATAAGCAAATTGAATAATTTTGGTGTTAGAGGTGTAGTACTAGACTAGTTGATCAGTTATCTTCACAACAGGCAGCAATATGTTATGTCAGAGGGTTATAAATCAGAATGTATGAAGCTGGAATGTGGAGTACCACAGGGCTCAGTTTTGGGACCCAAACTTTTTATTTTTTTTAAGTTTATGATTTTCTGTAATCAGAAAAAAATGAAATTCAACTTACTATAGATGATATAAACATTGAGAGAGTTTATGAATTAAATTTTTTGGGTATCATATTAGATGACAAATTGACATGGAAAAACCATATATCACATGTAAAAGCCAAAGTGGCCAAGAGCCTTTTTATTTTGAACAAAGTAAAATATGATGTGGATACAAGCACTTTGAGAATGTTGTATTGTACACTGGTCTTACCGTATTTTACTTATTGTTTGGAAGTGTGGGGCAATACGTACAAGACGAATATTACTCCCCTGATTAAGTTACAAAAAAAAACATTGAGAATTATTTATAAAGAAGATTACAGAGCACATACCAATAGACTTTTCATGTTGTCAGGTTTACTGAAAATAACACACTTAATGGAGCTTAGAACACTTCTGGTGGTGTTCAGAGCGAAAGACAAAGTTTTACCAAAACAGCTGCAAGGGTTATTTGAAATTAGTTCAGAGAGTGAAAACCACAGGAGACCATATGATTTTAAAAACCAGTTTGCTCGGACGACGCTAAAGCAGATGTGTATTTCTTTTGCAGGTATTAAGTTATGGAATTCGCAAAGTAATGAGTTGAAGAGTTGTACAACAATGTTTCAGTTTAAGAAAAAGTTTAAAGGAGGGAAAATCCAAAATTATGAAGTGGATGACTGATGATGTGTCAGTTTTTTTTTTTTTTGTTATTGTTTTTTGTTTGTTTGTTTTTTCTTGTGTTTGTTTGTTTGTGGTATTTTTTGGACCTTAATTATTTAATATTTTGATCAATTGCTGGATGGTTGCCATAGATAAAGGTGTTGTAGTGAAGGGGCAGTCGTATATAGGACTTGTCTTCTGTCTGCTCCTTTTCATTTCACATGATTACACATGAAAAAAAAGGATGAGTGCAATGTATGGTATTATGTATGATGAATGAAATGAAATAAATAAACATAAATAAAAATAAATACATAAAATTTCTCTTTCTGTGTATCCTTCTTTCCTCAATGTACAAATCTGTACTTTTGTTTCTTTACTCCGTTTTTTTCTAGCGGTTTTTGGGTTAGTTTGAACGCAGTTGAGATTTATTAGGATCTTTGTCTGCAGACTCTCAAAAGTCAAAAAGTTGAAGTGAATAAACCAACTGTGATTTGTTTTTTTGCTTTTGCACTTAAGTTGTGACTCTTGCAAATGTTTTCAACCCTAAAACTAAGCCTTTATTATCTTTTGCTGACATATATTTAGCAATGGTCTGTTAACATCAATGTATATCTAAAGGCAAATGGAGTAAAATGGTGCATTTTCATAAAAGCAACATCTGATCATGGAGTAAATACATCCCAAAATACATAAAACTAATGCTGGATTTTAAAAAAAGCATTGTGAACAAAAACTTGAAGTTACTCCCAACTGTTCGGCCTGTAATGGCCTTGCTTCCAAACTTTTGGCCTGTAGTGTAAGTGCATATTGATTGTATGGCTTACACCTTACACCTAGTGGTAACTGCTGCTCTAAAAGAGTGCCGGGAAATAACCAATGTGATATTGATCGCTCATAAGATTGCTGGGTTTGTGCAAAAGCTGTGAACAAACTTCCCAAAAATCCAGGAAGAGCTTGGCCTTCCCATGAATACTTTGGTGCATGATGTGTCACCCGGGTGGAATTCCTCCTTCCACATGCTCCAGCGGCTGTTGGAGCAGAAACAACCACTGACAACCATGAATGCAGAGATGGATCTGGGAGGTGTAATTGTAACCCAAAATTAAGAGCTTTTGTTGCAGTAGGGCAAACTTCCTCGGAGAACATTCTGTCTTTTTTCATTAAAAAAACTTTTATGATATTGTGTAGTAGTTGCTAACGCTATTTACTTCCTCACAGAGTTTCATGCAGGGTTTGCTATCGGGCGGTGAGAGAAAAAAGGAGTATAAAACGGAAGAGAATCAACGTAAAGTATGTAATACTGTTTAAAGAAGAGCCAAATTATAGGCTAAAGATTAACATTGCAGTTGCTAGTTTTGTTTCCCTGCGATGTGTTTGATTTACCAGCTTTAGCATTTTCCATTGGCCATACTACTAAACTGCAATGAGGTTTGGTCATGGCTGAACATGATCATGGAATAATTTGGATAATTAATGTTGAGCAACTAGATTTGTTTACTTATCTCCGAGTATGTAACAATATGATTTTGGAAATGTTTAAAGTGCAGTTTGACTCCCTTTAACTTGAATTATTGAATTATGGATGTTTTCTTGGGATTTAGAATAGAATAGAATTTTCCTTTATTGATCCCCAATGTGGAAATTTTTTTTGTTACTGCAATAGTATTAGAATATTGGATATTCAGTAATGTATTTCTTGTGTGTTTAATACATGCATTGAACTTCTTTTTGTTTACTTTAAAAATAGTGAATTTTATTTGATAAAAATGATATTAATTTATGTTTTGGCTTTTTTCTTTTAGGTCAGGTTTTTTGTAAGGGACCATAGATCATCACTGTTGACTCAACCTACATCACAGCTATAATTCAACCAGTACTGTCACATTCAACCCAACTAGATGGCAAGCTTACCCCTGGATTTTATGGTGTTGTTGAACATTTGGATTGTGTGTTTTGTTTAGTTTTATATATTATTTATACCTGGTACTAGGTTAGCATTAGTCATGAGGTTTTTTTTTTCCTTTCCTCTTGGCCAAAATCTCCATCATTGTTAATTTGCAATAACTGTTTTGTTTTCTCTGTGTTGTTCAATCTGAAAAAAAATATTGCTTCAAGACAAAACACAAGACAAAACCATATCTGTTGTCTGTGAATCATTCACCCACACCTCGGGCTCCTTAAGAATCGTATTCTTCTAATGCAAATATACACAGCCCAAAAAGTAGTGTTAAAGTAGTGTTACAAACGTGGTGAGCTAGCCAAGAGCCTGACAGTGTGAGCGAATGAATAGTTGTTGTAAGTAAGTATAGATTAAGTCTTAATTGGAAAAAAGAAAGAGTTGAGTGAAAGAAAATAAATGGAATCAATTTTGAGTTCTGGGTTGAATATTTCCAATGCTGTTGTCATTTCTGGTGTGACAAACACTCAAGTAGATGATAACAGAGAAAACAGATCATTTGAGTAATTATGGAGAAATCAAAAAGTCATTTATGGTTACAGATAGTGATAGTTTATTTTTCAAAAACCTGATCATTGAATTTAACAATGCTAAAGCCTTGGCAAAACTAAAACCACTTTTGCCGTATCCGTATCACTCCCGTGTTGCTGCAGACGTAGTCTTTGTTGTAAAAGACACCGCCACAGTGGAGACTGCCTCGACCCCCGACAACCTCCAGGAGCTGAGAAGGATTTCTCAGAGCAGTGGCCAATCCTTTGAAGATGTTGTGAAGGGGATGATGAGCCAAATAAGTGCTCATTTGGCTTTAAGAAGAGGAGCAAATGATGATGGTGATGATGACAGTGAAGAGGAGGAGGAGCAGAAAGAGCCCAGTAAATCCCAGGAAATCCTCACAGCAACCCAGTCATTCCTCCAATTACCTACCATGACCCTCACCTCAATCTCATTCAGAACCTCATCAAACTAATCCAACTGTGAATTTGGGGCCGGGAATCTCGCTCTCCACCAATGACATTAACCTTCTTGAAATTCAGAGAGTGGTAATTGAACATATAGTACACATAGATGATGTAGGTGTGCAATCCATGTCACCATCCCGCTTGCGCACCTTTTCTGGCAAATCCCAAAACCCCCACGTGAAGCAGACTACGAATCATGGCGATCCCATATTGATCTTCTGAGTGCTGATCCAAGACGTGCTCCATTACACATAACAAGATGCATCATTGAAAGTTTACTTTCTCCAGCTGCTGACTTGGTGAAAAGTTTGGGCCCAAATGCTTTGCCATCCACCTTTCTGCATGTACTAGACTCTGCTTATGCCACTGTCCAAGATGGAGAAGAGTTGTTTGCACAATTTTTTAACACTTTTCAGAACCAAGGAGAACAACCTTCAGCATATCTCCAGAGACTCTTACTCATACTCAATACAGCAGTCAAATGTGGTGGGATTCCAGCATTTGACAACAACAAATACTTGTTAAAACAATTTTGCAGAGGTTGCTGGAACAACAATGTGATCAATAAGCTACAACTGGAACCAAAGAAAGATGAACCACCACATTTGCAGAGCTGTTATTCATGCTAAGGACTTAGGAGGACAGGCAGTTAGCAAAGGAGACATTTATGAAAAAGCACCTTCCAGCAGTCAAACAAAGGGCAAATCTTCAAACTTTGCACTCTGCATGTTCATGGCCATGCTTCAGTGCAATAGAAGATCTCCGAAAACAAATTCAAAAGCTTCAACAACACATTTATGTTTCCCACTCTTTCTACAATAACCACCTACAAGACCATGAGATAAAGTCTCTCATTAATCTCCTTTAAGTAGAGGGCGCTAATGGACAAAGTGTGCCTTATCTTGGCTATGTAGAACTCAATGTGACCTTCCCATAGGAGTTCATTGGAGAGGCAGTTAGCAGTCAACACCCTTGCTCTGGTTGCTCCTGCTCCTCCAGTTATTCCTACTGACTTACCTGTGATTCCTCCTGGCCAGCCATCACAGAATCTCTCAGAGTAGGGACAGAGAGCTGTTGAGATGGAAGACGAATCTGAGTCTGGTGAGGAACGCTGCCGCTCCTGAACCTGAAAAAGACACTGTTATTGATCTGAACACTGAAACTCCCTTTGGCCTTGAATCGGAATCATTTTCTGCTGACATCCTGGAAACCTAGGACATCACTTCCTCTCCTTCTGTACCTGCTGAATTGCAAGAGCCAGTCAGTATTTCAAGTGAGTCTGATCCAACAGTGGAACCCTCAAGCCGAGAGTCAGAACCATCACTAGAGGTACACAGGAGAGACAGAGGCCAAGAAAATAAACCAGCTGTTCTCCACTGAACCAGCCAAAGTGTACTCTCAGTGACAGGGTAATAACACCTGAGCAAACCTACCAAGGCTGGAGACTAAACAACACTGGAAAGGCACATGGGAGGAAGAAGCATCAGATAACAACAATGCACAGTGGCTAACCGATCTAAGAGCAGACCACATCAATCTCCCTTAACAACATGCCCTGACCATCACAGTTGCAGACATCCAAGAAAAAGTCTCAGGTATGAAGAACTGGACAGCACCAGGCCTGGATAGGATTCATACCTACTGGCTAAAGAGGCTGACCTCACTCCATGATCGCCTGGCAGCACAAATGAACCAACTGCTGAGAGATGCTGCTGGGAGATAGGACCCACCCAGAATGGCTGACCCAAGGCAGGATAGTCCTGATCCAGTAAGATCCACAGAAGGGAACAGCCCCATCCAACTATCGGCCAATCACCTGCCTCTCCACAACATGGAAACTCCTGTCAGGCATTATTGCGGCTAAGATAAGTGGGCACATGGATCAATATATGACAGAGGCACAGAGGGGCTATGGTAAGAACACCAGAGAAGCAAAACACCAGCTAGGACAGCAAAACACCAGATAGGACAGTTGCTTGAGGCTGTAGAACCGGACAGACCAATCTGTGCACTGCCTGGATTGATTACAAGAAAGCCTACGACTCAATGCCACAAATCTGGATCCTGGAATGCCTGAAGCTGCACAAGGTCAACAAGACTCTAAAGGCCTTTATTACAAACTCAGTGAGGCAATGGAACACCACCCTTGAGGCCAACTTCAAGCCAATAGCACAAGTCTCCATCAAATGTAGTATATATCAAGCGGAGATGGTTGGGACTAACTAAGAGCCTGAGCAGCATCGCTCTTTACGGGAACAGCAACAAGCTGCAACTGCCCTTCAAATCCTTGGAAGAGGAGTTCAAGGTCTCCAGAACCAGGGAAGTGGTCCAGTACAGGGATTCAAGTGACCCGAAGGTGGCTAAGGCTGGGATCCAAGTAAAAACTGGCAGGAAGTGGAGAGCAGCTGAAGCGGTTGAAGAGGCAGAGGCAAGGCTCCGGCACAGAAGCCTGGTTGAAGTGGTCACTCGAGGCCGCGCTGGGCTAGGTTCTTTTCAATCTCCCCAATTGAACACCAAGGGGAAGGAAGGCCGACGTCTAGTTCAGGACGAGGTGAGAGCAGCAGTGGAGGAGACAAGGACCTGCAAGGTTGTAGGGATGAAGCAACAGGGGGCTTGGATGAGATGGGAGAACGCAGTTGAGAGGAAAGTGACCTGGGCAGAGCTTTGGAAAGCTGACCCTCAACGCATCAAATTTCTCATTCAAGCAGTATATGATGTGCTCCCAAGCCCGTCTAATCTGCACACATGGGGCATAGCAGAGACACCAGCATGCCCATTGTGCTCCAAGCGAGGAACCCTGGAACACATCCTCAGTTGCTGTGCAGTGGCACTTGGAGATGGACGGTACCGGTGGAGGCATGACCAAGTCCTCAAAACCATCGCGGAAGCTCTCACCGCAGGACTGGCATGGTCTAAACAGTTCCGACCTTCCAACAGAACCATCGCCTTTGTCCGCGCTGGGGACAAGCCTACCCAAGTCAGAAGAACACCATCTGCAGGCATCCTGATGTCTGCAAGAGACTGGCAGTTGTTGGTGGACCTTGAAAAACAACTTAAGTTCCCCAGCCACATTGCAGTTACCACCCTACGACCAGACATTGTCCTTGTGTCTGAGACGACGATACAAGTCATCCTACTGGAGCTGACAGTCCCATGGGAAGACCGCTTGGAAGAGGCCTTTGAGAGGAAGCTCTCCAAATATGCAGGTCTGGTCAGTGACTGCCAACTGGCTGGGTGGAGAGCAAGATGCTTCCCTGTGGAGGTTGGTTGCAGGGGTTTTGCAGCCCGTTCCTTGGCCAGTGCCTTTGGTGGTTTGGGCATCGTTGGGGAGAGGAGGAGGAGAGCCATCCGCAATACCACCGAAGCAGCAGAAAGGGCCTCCCGACTCCGAGATGGCTTTGGCTAAAACGTGGAGATCCATGGAGTTTTGGTAGCTAGCTAGCTGTCTGGACACAAGCCGGGATTTGATCAACCCCAGTTGGGTCACCTGGAGGAGGGCGTATGTTGTTGAAAGACCCAAAATGTCCAATGACTCCAGGAACATCACTGATGATGTGTCTAGACTAGGCATCAGTAGATGTATGTACACAGGAGATGCTCTGTCCCCACTGCTGTTCTGCATAGGCTTGAATCCCCTCGCCAAATAATCAACAAGACTGGCTACGGATACCGACTCCAAAATGGTCTCACCATCAGCCACCTCCTCTACATGGATGACATCAGGTTGTATGCTAAGAGCAAGCGAGACATTGACTCACTGATCTACACCACCAGGATCTACAGCAGTAACATTGGAATGTCGTTCGGACTGGAGAAATGTGGCCGAATGGTGACGAAAAGAGGAAAGGCAATCCATACAAAGGGCACTACGCTCCCATAGGGCAGAATAGCAGATGTGGAGGAGAGCTACAAATACCTTGGCGTACCACAGGCAAATGGCAACCACAAAGAGGCCACAGAGAATGCAACAATGGCCAAATAGCTGAAGCGAGTAAGGCAGGTCCTAAAGAGTCAGCTCAATGCAAAAACAAAGCTCGGGCAATTAACAGCTATGCCATCTGCTTCCACTGGAAGAGAGAGGATCCCTAGAGCACCCAGGAGAGGACAGGAAAGGTCCAGGGTAAGATCTAGATCTCCTCTTAGGTCACAGCCACTTGCCTAAACCTGGAGAACTGAAAATGAACAAGACAGAGCTCTAGTTCCTAAAAGGTTCCTTCCTGCACCAACCTCTGGCCCTCAGCCATTGCTCTGGTATGACATACACACCACTGGAGCTCTTCAAGCTTTTTTTCAGTGATGATGTTCTGCAAACCTTGCGCCATCACACCAACAAGAATGCAAGAAAAAAGTTGCACAGGGAAAAAAAATATCCATGGCAGGATCTGAGCCCCCAGGAGCTTCAGAAGTTTCTGGGGCTCAACTTCTACTGTGCCTTGCTGAAGTTGAGTGCAGTCCAGGATTACCAGGAAAAAAATAAAAATAAAATAAAATTAGCGTCCCTTTTCCTGCAAGTGTCATACCAAGGAATCATTTTTTTGGTGATCTCATGGAACATCCATGTAAGTGACCCCGACAAGCATGACTGCCTGTTTCACCTGAAGCCCATCCTCGTCTCCATCCAGGATGCATGTAAAGCCTTTTACCAACCAAGGCAGAACATTGCAATGGATGAGAGGATCTTGGCGACGAAGGCTCACACTGGCATGACCCAGTACATGAAGGCCAAGCCAACCAAGTGGGGCTTCAAGCTTTTTGTACTTGCTGACAGCAGCAACAGCTACACTGTTGACTTTGCAGTGTACACAGGCAAGTGGGCTAGCATATGACGTGGTCATGTCTCTGGTAAAGCCAGTGTACCTGAACAGTGGCTTTCATCTGTTTGTAGATCATTTCTGCACCAGCCCGAAGCCCTTCAGAGATCTGGATCACCTCCACATTGGAGCATGTGGCACATACAGAGAAAAGTGGAGAGACTTCCCACGAACACCTGTAAATGACCTGAGGAAAAAAGATCCAAGAGGCTCCATCAGATGGATACGTGAGGACCCTGTGGTCGGTGTCAATTGGATGGACTCAGGTGAGATCTCAGTCTGCCCCACAATCCACTCAGCCTTTGATGGAGCCACTGTTGAGTGGAGAATGAGAGGTCAAGATGGTAGCTGGACGTCAACATTGGTTCCATGCCCAAGACCTGTCCTGGAGTACAACAAGTATAAGGGAGGTGTTGACCTATCGGATCAACTTCTTCAGTACTATTCTGTGCACCACAGGTCAAGCAGGTGGTACCAAACACTGTTCCTGCACTTCATGGACATCGCCGCCACTAACAGCTACCGGCTTCACAAGGAGCTCTGCAGGGAGAGGGAGCAAAAGCCAATGGCCCACAGAGCCTTCCTGGAAGAACTGACAGCCCAGCTTTGTGGTGTTACTTTCAAAGTTCCCTCGAAGATTGCACAGGGCCCCCACTTGACTGAACCAATCTCCGAGACAGAGGACAAATGTATGAAGGCCACATCAGGGAGAAGGAAGTGTTTCCTCTACAGGATGACCAGACAGGTCCAGCAATCCATTTCCTTGAGATGTGAGCAGTGTAATGTGGCCCTCTGTCTCATCCCAGACAGGAACTGCTTTCAAGAGTGGCATAAACAACTGCAAATAGCAAAAAAAACGACTGGAGGAATTAGTCAAATCAATCAATTAATCAATCAAATTTTATTTATATAGCGCCAATTCACAACAGTCGTCATCTCAAGACGCTTTTCAAGGAACAAGAGCAGGCCTAGACCACACTCATTGTTTGATGATCAAGAACCAACCTAAGATGGGTTTTGGCCCTTAAGAGTTCTTAAGAGTTCAGTTTACAGGGTTAGGATATGAGTGATTATGGACAATGTCAATGGACAAATTGATTGAGTGTGATTACAGTTAGCAGGCCTAGTCGTAGTCAGCTCTAGTTTATGTTATTAATGTCAATAATGTCAGTGAGGCTGATGTTCATGTCTGCAGTAACAGTCCAGAGGAATCAGAGAGAAGAAGGAGCTCAGGGCCTGAGGTGGACAATCATAGACAGTAGTCAACTCTAGTTTTATGTTATTAATGTCAGTGAGGCTGATGTTCACGTCTGCAGTAACAGTAACAGTCCAGAGGAATCCAAGAGAAGAGGCTCAGGGCTTGAGGTGGACAATCATAGATGATGCGGCTAAGAGTCCAGAGGAATCCAAGAGAAGAAGGAGCTCAGGGCCTGAGGCGGACAATCGTAGACGATGCGGTCAGAGTCAGGCAGGTCTGCAGCAGAATTAGTGTAAATATGTAAATAGTTTCTGTTGTGTGTTTGTTCTGATCCCAATATTTCTTCTCCTTATAGCCAAAACTTAAGAGAATGATGTGCTGGTGAGTAAAGGCTTGGTCACTGTAGATTTATGTGTTTTTGTACTGTTGTACTGTTGGTATCAATTTCCATTTTAGTTTTTTGGTTTAGTTTGGTGGTTCTGAATCTACTGTTACATTCATTTTACATATTTTTTGCACCCATAAACTAATAGTTGAGGTTGTTCTGAAAAAAAAAAGTGTACATAGTTGCTGTGCTTAAAAGGATAGAGTTGTTACATAGATTTTTACAACAACAAAAAAAAAGGCGGACCAATAGCAAATAGCTAGGGGTTCCAAGCATAGATATCTACAAGAAAGGCTAGATGACTTAAGGCAGAGTCACCGGCATCCCTCCACGGCGGCCATCTTACTCCAGTATACCATTCTGGTACACGCTATGGTAGCTGGTGGAAGGTGAGTAATCTGCTTGATCAAAAATAATTTTAACTTGCCAGAATCTTGACAGATTTACAAATGCTTTTGCTCAATGTATACCTTCAAAATGTGGCTATGAGTCGGGATGCTTGGCAGCTTTTCTTAGAGAGAAAAAGACTTAATCACGCAGCAAAGTTGTTTCACAGTTATTTGTGCACAAGGGCTAACTTTGACTCACTTTGCGCGAGTTGTCAAGGCTGAGACCACAATTGAGAATAACCCAAATCCTACGCAAGCTAATGCAAACTACCAACTGATGAAATGGGAATAAAAACTTCACAGTCAGAAAGGTATGTGTACCATGGATCCACAGCTGTTCATGTTCCTCTGCTGCAGACATTTGCCACCTTTTTGATGTCTTCCTGAGGAGTTTCCTCATTAAAACTGTCAACCTAGTTTCCAGAAGTCAAACTTTTCCAGCTTGTGCCAGAATATCAGCTGTCATATCAGAATGAAGATAAGTCTACACCTCATACCCATACATCAGCCACATCTACCCATAACACAAGAGAGCTGCATACTGTTAGTTAAAATGAGTAAGGGGAACAGCAGGGTCTGGGAGGCTGTTAGACTAAATACTAAACCGCTACTTTTCATGAAACATTGAAGACAGTACACGTTAAACTGTAGGAATTTAATTTATTTAAGACTTTCTTATTATGCAAATATGTTGCGTAATTTATACTTTCCATCTCAGACCTTAATATTCTTTACTGAAAAGTCTGGGTGTAGTCTGGGTCATGCCTCTGATTTGTTGTAATCCTATGTTTGCTGTGCATCATGTTTTTTGATGGGGTATTTGTCAGGTCAAACAGTAAGATGTATTGTAAATGCAAAAGGCGTTTTATTTTTCAACAAGAGGGCATATCACTATTCTACTGTATTTTATAATCTTTTTGCTGGAGATGTGGGCATGGTGTGCTGTACTGGAACTCAACTTCCACCAACTCTGTTGTATGGCCATTGATAAATGATTCTGATTCTGATAATACCCTTGTCAGTATTTGTGACCTGTGCACCTTACTGTGTGTGTCCTAATCCCTTTTATGGCTGAACAACACAGTGAGCTGTTGGAGAGATCTTTTTTTTAAACTGGAATTGCTAGAATAACAAAAGATCTGTGTGACGTGAAAGGTTAGTCCACCTTATCTCAAAAATCCAAAGACAAAAATTAGGTATCTAAGAGATGAATGATTTTTTATATTTTCACTAAATTTGCCTGTAAAAAAAAAAACAAAAACGTTTTGAACCTTTTAAATTAACGTACAGACAGGCAGAGAGAAAGACAGACAGACAGATAGACACAGACTGACGGACACTCAAACAAAAGGACAGGCAGACAGACGGACAGGCAGAAAGACAGAACAGCAGGTGTCGGCAGGTGAACAGTCAAGTATTTTTTTATTTAATAATCTAATGGTAACGTACATTAAACTGTTGTTGTTTTTATGGTTGTATACAGGTACATCCAAAAAAATTCAATATTTTTTGTCACTCATTTCAGAATGTGAAACCCATATATTATATAGATTCATTACACATAGAGTGAAACATTTTTTTCTTGAAATTTCGGTAATTGTGGCTAGATAATGAAAACCCAAAATGCAGTGTCTCAAAAAATTAGAATATTGTGACAAAGTTCAATCTGGGAAAGTCATGGTGTCACACACTAATCAACTAATTAACTCAAAACACCTGCAAAGGTATCCTGAGCCTTTTAAATGGTCTCTCAGTCTGGGTCAGATGGCTACACAATCATGGGAAAGACTGCTGACTTGACAGATGTCCAGAAGACAATCATTGACACCCTCCACAAGGAGGGGAAGCCACAAAAGGTAATTGCTAAAGAAGCTGGCTGTTCAGTATCCAAGCATATTAATGGAAAGTTGTGTGGAAGGAAAAGGGGCACCAGCAAAAGGGATAACCGCAGCCTTGAGAGGATTGTCAAGCAACATCCATTCAAGAATTTGGGAGAGCTTCACAAGCAGTGGACTGAAGCTGGAGTTAGCGCATCAAGAGCCACTACGCACAGACAAATCCTTGACATGGGCTACAACTGTCACATTCCTCGTGTCAAGCCACTGAACCAGAGACAACATCAGAAGCGTCTTACCTGGGCCAAGGAGAAAAAGGACTGGACTGTTGCTCAGTGGTCAAAAGTCCTCTTTTCAGATGAAAGCAATTTTAGAATTTCATTTGGAAATAAAGGTCCCAGGGTCTGGAGAAAGAGTGGAGAGGCACAGAATCCATGTTGCTTGAAGTCCAGTGTGAAGTTTCCACAGTCAGTGATGATTTGGGGAGCCATTGTCATCTGGTGGTGTTGGTCCACTGTGTTTTCTGAAGTGCACAGTCAACACAGCCATCTACCAGGACATTTTAGAGCACTTCACGCTTCCTTCTGCTGACAAGCTTTTATGGGGATGCTGATTTCAGTTTCCAGCAGGACTTGGCACCTGCCCACACGGCCAAAGGTACCAAAAGCTGGTTCAGTGACCATGGTGTTACTGTGCTTAATTGGCCAGCATAGAGAATCTGTGGGGTATTGTCAAGAGGAAGATGAGAGACACCAGACCCAACAATGCAGATGACCTGAAGGCTGCCATCAAAGCAACCTGGGCTTCCATTACACCTGAGCAGTGCCACACACTGATCGCTTCCATGCCACGCTGCATTGATGCAGTAATTCAAGCAAAAGGAGGCCCAACCAAGTATTGAGTGAATAGAAATGAACATACGTTTCAGAAGCCTGAAATTTCTGTTTAAGATATCCTTTTTTTCATTGATCTTATGGAAAATTCTAATGTACTGAGACACTGCATTTTGGGTTTTCATTATCTATAAGCCACAATTATCAAAATTTCAAGAAATAAATGTTTGAAATGTTTCACTCTATGTGTAATGAATCTATATAATATATGGGTTTCACATTCTGAAATGAGTGACAAAAAATATTGAACTTTTTCATGATATTCTAATTTTTTGAGATGTAACTGTAAATACACATGAAAGCACAGCCCTCATA